TACCCTAAAAACTACAGAACACTTCTGAAAGAAATTGAGGAAGACACAAAGAGATGGAAAAATATTCCATGCTCATGGATTGGCAGAATTAATATTGTGAAAATGTCAATGTTACCCAGGGCAATTTACACGTATAATGCAATCCCTATCAAAATACCATGGACTTTCTTCAGAGACTTAGAACAAATTATTTTAAGATTTGTGTGGAATCAGAAAAGACCCCAAACAGCCAGGGGAATTTTAAAAAAAAGAAAACCATATCTGGGGGCATCACAATGCCAGATTTCAGGTTATACCTCAAAGCTGTGTTCATCAAGACAGTGTGGTACTGGCACAAAAACAGACATATAGATCAATGGAACAGAACAGAGAACCCAGAAGTGGACCCTGAACTTTAAGCTCAACTAATATACGATAAAGGAGGAAAGACGATCCACTGGAAGAAAGACACTCTCTTCAATAAATGGTGCTGGGAAAATTGGACATCCACATGCAGAAGAATGAAACTGGACCACTCTCTTGCACCATACACAAAGATAAACTCAAAATAGATGAAAGATCTAAATGTGAGACAAGATTCCATCAAAATCCCAGAGGAGAACTCAGGCAACACCCTTTTTGAATTTAGCCACAGTAACCGGAGAAGGACAAACAGTGTATGTTCTCATTCATTTGGGGAATATGAATAATAGTGAAAGGGAATATAAGGGAAGGGAGAAGAAATGTGTGAGAAATATCAGAAAGGGAGACAGAACATAAAGACTTCTAACTCTGGGAAATGAACTAGGGGTGGTGGAGGGGGAGGAGGGTGGGGGGTGGGGGTGAATGGGTGACGGGCACTGAGGGGTACACTTGACGGGATGAGCACTGGGTGTTATTCTGTATGTTGGTAAATTGAACACCAATAAAAATTAATTTATAAAAAAAAAAAAAAAAAAAAAAAAAAAAAAGATTCACCCACTGAAGCTATGCTGGTTACCAGTGTTGGAGTGAGTCTGCAGGATTTTTTTTGCATGTGTGTGCCTCCTAAACAGGGAGAAGAATTCACCTAGCATTTTTTAACAAAACAGTGAATTTAAAATACAAATTACAAGTTTATGAGCTAATTAAAAATTGCCATCTTGGTAGAGACAATAGTGAACTTATTTTATGAGCAGCACATCCTCCTGAAGTAGCTATGTTTTAACTCAATAAAAGTGGTTTATGCACTTTAACTCCGTGTTTAAAATCACTTTTCTCTGAATACAAGGAGGAGCTGCCAGCATGAAGACGTGTGCACTTCTGTGCCCGAATGTGTAGGCATACAAAATCCACAGGTATCATGTTTTAAAATAAACTGAAAAAGAAGTTAATAAAGTCTCCTTGAAGTTGACTGGCATTTTTTTAATTACTTAAACTCAGGGTGGATTTGTGTTTCCAGACTGTCTGCATGCACACAAACGCACACTCCTAGAATTCTCAATTCTGGTAGGAATGTCTTAGCGGCTGTTCCTAGAATCTTTCCAGCTTGTATCATGGTTCTCAGGCAAAAACAAAACCTGTCCACTGAGTCTGGGAAACTGTTGACAGGGTCTCAAAGGTCATGCCTAAGGGCTGGGTTTCCTTTTGTGTATTTGTTTTTGTTTTTAAGGAGCATGAAGTCTCTACGTGGTGAGCAACATAGCACAGGATAGAACTCCTTTCCTGAGCAGTTAGCTGTGCGCTGCAGAATCTCCGAGCATTTAGCCAGTCTACTGTGCAACCCCTCTTGGCCCCTGGATGGCTTAGAAGATACGCATTACAAACATGGCCAGAGCACTCAGGAAAGTAGAGTCATTCCCTGCTACAAAATCTTTCTGGATGCTGTAGTCCCCCTGGGGCCATGGGTTTCTACCACAGCAAAGAAAGATAAGCCTGCCCTATGAAAAAGCAATCTCCACTGGAGGCAACTAAATTAAATCACATCAAGACCTAAAGAGCCAAAAGGGAGTTAAGCCTTCTGACTAACAGAGCCTATGAGAATATTTTTGAGATGCCTTGAAAATGATGTGTGGTGGAAGGATTAAAAAAAAAAAACCTCATTGTTACTCAGGGTTTTCATCATTGGGGAAGCCACCTATTGTCACAGAGTCCCTACTGTCACACTGGACAGGAGTCTCATACTGGCTGCACGACATACCAACTGTGTGAATCAGGATAAATGACACTACCTCTCTGAGGCTCAGTTTTGCCATCTGTGGCATGAGGATCATGTAAGCGCATCCCTTGCAGAGGTTACTGAGGGGATGAAGTGAACCAACACAGGGAAAGTTACATAGCCCAGGGCCTGCCCAGAGTCAGCACAGCACAGCAGCAGCATCTATCTCTCTGCCTCTGTGTGACAAGCTCTGCCTGCAGAACCGGGAGCCAGGCTTGGTGAGTGTAACCCTCACCAGCCTGGGATGGGCCCTGACACAGCTCACTAGAAAAGAAGGGCTCGAGAAACCATACAGAGAAGTCAAAGATGGCTTACAGATGTCTTGATTATGAGATGTGCTGAGAAGCCACAGCACAAAGGAACACAGCAGTCTGACTCAAAAAATCCAAAGCTAGAAGGTCCAGGCCTCAACTCCTTGGAAAAAGTCCTGTTGGCCCTTCCAACTCTCTCCTCTTCCAGGGCTACGAAGTGTGCTGAGCTCCTTGGGCAGCCGGGGTGCCGCATGAGGTGGTGCCAGCAGGCCCGGCTCCCAGCTCCTGAAGCTCTGCACCTGTGTCTACAGGCTTCCCCTGGGCCACCGGTGGTACCTGTCACCTCGAGGCCCAAGACACCAGCAGGAGTTCAGGGCTCCCCTGGCTCTGCCGGGGAGGGAGAGGGCTCTCTCTGGCTCGGCTGCAGTGACGCCCTCTGTGCTTGGTATTCAGAGGGAAAGCTAATGAGGGTCTGGAGAGCAGTCAGGAAAATCACGGCCAGTTTTCTTATTAAGGACAAAAGCCAGGCAGAATGAATTGAAAGTGCTTGGGAGCCTAGAGACAGAGGGTCGATTCAGCTTGAGTCCTGGGCGGCTACAATGCCAGCCTCTGCGTGGCAGCCAGGGCCCAGCAGCGTCTGGGTTGTGCAGACCGAGGTGCTGTTCAAACCCGCACTAGTTCACAGAGTGCTGGAACACAGTGAGCCAGGGTGCTGGGCAGAGCGAACACCCACAAATCCAGAATGGGGAAGGTGAAAGGGGACGAGGCAGGAAGAGAGGGAGAGAAAGCCAAGCCCTGAGCACTTGTGAGGAATAACGGCCTTGAACAGGGTGTCCAGATGATGCTCCTCAAAAAATCTGTTCACAGAGACAACACCAGATGATCTCCAGGAAGATAGACAGAGGCAGTATTTCAAATTGTTCTTTTGGCAATAGGCAAGATTGGGAGCCTTCGGAAGCAGAGCCCATATCTTCAGCTTCACGTCAGACTCAAAACAACCCCAGCTGGCTGCCATTAGAGATATATTGGTAGAGCCTCTAACCACTCTAACCAGAATCGGGTTTAATTTATGAGCTAGAATGCTGGGAAAGTTATGATTAGCAATTACCTAAATTATATGAGGCCATATAATTTCCATTAGTCCTTTTCCCACTTCACCAAAGATAAATAAATGAAAATAGCATTTTTCTTTTAATGCAAAAGATTATATTATTTTTGTAAACAGGTATTCCATCCTGGAAAAAAAAAAGCTATTTTTCCTCATTAAAATTAGTCAATCAGTCCCCCAAAAACAGAGGTGGGGAAAGCCTCATAAAGAGAATTTTTGTATGGGCAGCTGAGAAAGTTGATGAATTGTTGCAAGGTAAAGAAAACTTGATAGCACTTCAGCGTCACAGTCCATAGATGATTGATAATAGATGACTGAGAGATAGGATGGAGGGGATCATTGATGAGGGTCCCACTGGCATTATGATCAGTTCATAATGATACATGTCAGACTCAATTAGGGAATATCATTTCTTTTAGTTTGTATGTTTCACTCACTTCTTTAATTTTTCCAATCTCACTTAATTTTTTTTTGATTTTTAGGCTATGAAATTTTGAAAACCTAGAATCTCAAAAACCCCACTCATACGTAAGCAATTGGCCTGTGAACGTCCCATCGTTTTTTGAGGATTTCTTAGAAAATAGGTAACTTTTCACAGCAAATGCTTGGGTAGATGGCCACTGTTTTAGGAAGCGAATACTCGAGTGAGAAACCAACCGGACAGTAGCTGCCCCCGTCTTCACCTCTTCGGCTTTCCTTTCAGGGATTCCTACCTTCATCCCAGCCTCCTAATGCGCATAATCTTCCGGACCAAACGGAGAGACCGAGCAGCGGCCACCGTTGGGAAGGAGCGGAGGAGCCTCCGGGCCCAGCTGGGGCAGCGGCCGCGGCCGCGGAGGCTGCGTCTCTACGTGCCGGCCCCGCCGGGACCGCTCCGGCCCCCGCCCGCCAGGGGGTCGCCGCTGACCGCGGGACGGGGGTGCGCGGCCCCGCTGCCCCGAGCGCGCTCTGCCTGGGGCCCCAGCGGCCGCGCGGGCGGCAGGGGCGCCTCCACCCGTCCGCGCGGGGCGGGCGAGACGCGCCCCGGCTGGAATCGCAGAACCGCCGCTGAGCGAGGGCACGGCCGGAGAGGCCGAGGCGCGCTCCCCGCCCCGAGCCCCGCCGCAGCGGCCGGGACGCCCGGAGCAGACCTGCGAACTTTCGGGGCGCGGCGCGGGGCGGCGCGGGGCGGCGGGAGAGGCGGGAGAGGCGGGGGAGCAGTCGGGCAGGAACATCCTGGGACAAAGGACCAATTTTGGCGACAGGGGAGAGACCCCTCCGCGCGCCCACGGACTCGCGGGCAAGAGACCGGGTCGCACGCACCGGGCATCGCACGCACCGTGTCGGGACCCCCCCCCCCGCCGCCGCCGCCGCCGCCGCCGCCGGTGCCACGACCGCGCCCGACTGCCCCGCTCCCGGGGCCCGCGGAGGGCGTCCCGGCCCCAGGCCCCCGGAGCGCGGCGCCGGGCAGTGCGGCGGGACCTACCAGCGCGGCCAGGATGCGCCGGCTCTTCTCGTCCGTGCAGCGCTCGGAGAGGACGCCCGGGTGCGCGCGGAGCAGCAGCGCGGCCGCCAGCACCCAGCCCGCCGTCCACGCCGCGCAGGCCAGCAGCGCGCCCCGCCCGCACCGCCCGCGCCGCCCGCAGCGCCCCGGCCGCCTCCGCGCCATGACCCGCCGCCCGCGCCCCGCGCTCTCGGGGCGGCTCCGCGGCCCGGCCGGCCCGGCGGGGGAGGGGGCGCGGGGGAGAGGCCACGCCAGGCGAGGGGGAGCCCGGCGGCCCGGCGGCCCGGGGGTGGGGCAGGGTGCAGGGGCCGCCCGCCGCTCCGGGGTCCGCGCGCCCACCGGGCAACGGGGTGTCCGCCGGCCGCCCCGGTCCGCGCGCCGCGCGCCCTGCTCCACCCGCCGCACCCACCACCTTTCCCACTTTTTTTTTTTTGCACCTTTTTTCCCCCAAGAAGACCAGTCCCCTCTTAAACAGAATCCGCAGAACCCGCGTGGATTTAAAAGCCCCCCGCCCCCGCCCCCGCCCCCGCCCCCGCCCGGCCCCGGCCGTTCAGAGTCCCGGTTCCCTTATTAACACATCTTTAATTCAGACGAGCCCTCCGCGCCCCTTCTTCTCGGGGCGGCCGGAGCCCGAGCTCTCTGCAGACCCCCGCACCCCTGGGTGCTCTCGGCTGCAGTCTGCCCCCCCCCCATTGACCCCTCTCTGAGATTCCTCTCTCCTCTGAAACCAACTTGGGTCTCCTCCGGGCCCTCCCGGGGGTGAGACCCACCCCCGCCCGCAGCGTGCCTAGAGCCAGGGTTTGGGACCATGCGGACGTCTTGGCGACACCCCCTCACACACATACATTTCCCGCGCAGCCTTCTAACCCACCGCGGGGCCCAGGATGCCAAACGACGCCAGGGACGGCCAGCGCCACACTCTTTTTTTTTTTTTAAGATTTTTTTAAATTTATTTATTCATAGAGATGCAGAGAGAGAGAGAGAGAGAGCAGAGACAAAGGCAGAGAGAGAAGCAGGCTCCACGCAGAGAGCCTGGCATGGGACTCGATCCAGGGTCTCCAGGATCAGGCCCCGGGCTGCAGGCGGCGCTAAACCGCTGCGCCACCGAGGCTGCCCCAGTGCCACACTCTTGAAACGTTTCCGCTTACCCCGGCTGGGGGTGGGGGTGGCGGGGAGCATGCGTTCACTAAATGCCGCTAAATCTCTATTTATGTATATTTGTAACATCATCTGGGGGAGCAGCTTCCATGTTCAAATCCCAGTCGTTATATAAAATAGGCGGGCGCCTCAGCCAACAGAGCTGTCTCTGGTTCTTGCCAGCCCTCTCCACGCCACCCTGGGCTGCTCCTCTGTTCCCTGGAAGGCTTTCTCCTCTAAGGAGGGTCCGAGGTGGGTGGTGTCCTAGGAGGTGAACTGTCACAGCTGAAGGCCTCTGGAAGCTGCCCCCCCTGGGTGGCTCATGCATTCGCTGTGAAAGCTTATTCTTCGCTGGTTCCCTTCCAGCCCAGAGCAGATCACCCTCCTGCCTGGTCTGTAGCCGAATTTCCATTTCTGGGTGTAGGAATAACAGGAACTACTCCAGCCTGATAAAGCACTCAGTGATCGTCCCTGGGGAACTGGTTTCTTAACCTTGCACATTCTGCAACTTACCGTTTAACCTTCATGGCTTGCTGGTAGAAGTCTCTAGAAATTGTGAAACATCGAAATAACAGAGGCCACCAAGTGAGCACTTTAGGTATAGGGCCAGTGTTCCCTGATGCAACAGACACTCAGATCTGGGGGTCACTCAGATAGCAGTGATGTGAGCCAGAGTCCCTCCTGCCACTGCCACCCTGCTTCCCAGGGTACACCCCAACAGAAGCCCTGCTGGGAGGATTTTGGTAAGCTGGCCATATCATTTCAAAATAATTGTGGAGCCCGGAAGACATCAGAGGCTATTGCTCTAAAATCTTGACCTGATGGTGCAAAGTCGATTCCTTTTCCCAAGAATCTGGAGTTCTGGGGCAGGAAAAGAAGGAAAAATGAGGTAAAGACGTGTGATCACTTATCCTTTACAACCTTGGGATCAAAATCACAGGAGGAAAACAGAACTTGAAATCAGAGTTAACAACGTTGTGATTTGCAAAGGTAGCTTTTACTTTTGTTAAGGTTTTAAGCATGTCAATCACACTTCTTTGGCGTTTTATAAAGAAGAAACAGAAGAACAAAATTATAACCCCACAATAAAGAGATCCTTTAAATATTCAGCATTGTTTTACACACAGAAGTTACAGTACTTGTAACTTGCTAGACCAAAATAAAATCCTCAGAACGCAGGACGATGCAGGCTGCCATCCTGCTGTACAGTTTGCACACTGCACAAAGCCACGGAGAGGTGGATGGCGCTGAAGTCCACCAGAGCTCAGTCCCCCAAACCTTTTGTCCCCCTGGGGGCCTCATGCAGGGGCATGAGGCTTTTGAATTACCTGTCCAAAGGGGGCTTTTTGGGGTATTCACATATAGGTGACTCATAGGCCAGCTGTACCCTTGATGCTAAAGATATTCCCCTAGAGCTGCAAAAAACAAATGCATCCATAATTGCTTTAACAACAGAATGTGAAGCTTTGGCTTCATGAACCAAGAAAAACAAGTTAGGTCTCATCTCCCAGAAGCCCTGCCTGCTGCACGTTGGTGCCATCAGCACGTCTCTGCAATTGTGCTGCATGATTCAGAATGACTGGCAGCCTTCGTGGGGTTGGCAGGGGGACCGCAGGTCCGGAATAGGGGTATGGGCAGAGCTGGGGAGTGGCTTGGCCCGGCACCTGCTTCACATCAGATTGATCTGAATAGGCTCTGACTCCTTAAAAAAATTTTGTGAAATCCAAGAACTGCTTCCACCCTTACCTGAACTATGAAAATGAGCCATAATATTAGAAATGGCTGGGCACAGCGATCCCTCTGGCCATGCTGCATTCACACGGAGTGGTTTTCCTCTGACTTGAAGGAGATGGAAATTTTGCTCCACATGCCACCTGAGAGAAAGGTCTGCAAGCAGATGACAGGCCACCCTGTCCTAGAGTCCCGGACCCATGCCCTGTGCCCAGGCCTCAGGCACCCATGGAGAGGAGGAAATGCAGCATGTGATCAGGGTTTGCTCATTTTAAATAAGAAGTTAGACTAGACTGTATTAGTTCATTTATTTCTTCCACTAGATTGGAGGCTACTTGAGGCTAAGCACTGTCTCATTTTATGTTGTAATCCCAGCACCTCATCTGGTACCCGATACAAAGGAATATCTATCTGCTGAAGAAAGGAGTGAAAGGTCAGAAAACTTTGAGAATCTCCATGGAATTCTTCTTGAAAAAGTTCTTTGAACACATAGTTATTTCTTTCTGATTTCCTGAGGCTAAATTGAGCAATCCAGCACATCACAGGGTTAGGAATATGTTTGAACATATCCTTTGGGTTCTGAACCCATCTATTGACAGTTGAACTTGTCACCAAGAAAAAATATGAGCATTTCCAATTATAGGCCATTACTAGGGGGAAAAAAGATAAAATTCTATAGTTTTCCAACTTTGATTATACTAGACAGACAGGTTTCTTAGTGCATGATTCTGCTACATTTCCATATACATTGGGCTTGTAAAAATATTTTTCTTCCTAAAAGGACTTGGATAACGACAAATATGCCTGTTTTTAATATAGTAATCGATATATTCACATACGTTAGCTTATAGGATTCTCCGAGCAACCTGGCAGGTGGATCGTGTGAATGCCACTATGGAGTATTTCACAGAAAAGGGCATGACCTCTTTTATAGGACCTGTTAGTGGCAGCGACAGTGTTAGAGGCCACTCACCTGCTTCTAGGCTTGAGATCAACTCCTGTTTTGATGTTGGAACAGTCCTCTCTAGAAGTGAGAATGTAAAATGTTCTATATGTATCACAATTGTTTGTTGACATATCCTGCCACAGGCCAAGAAAGTTTCACACATTTTGTTGTCTTACCAGTCATTTGCAAAAGTTATCATTGGAACAAGATTTTAACTCATGCCTGCCTACTATCTGTCTCTGTTTCCCATCCCAACAGTGGCTGCCATGTTTGCCCGATGGTGAACCACAGAAAAGGGGAGGCCACCCTTCAGAAGACGGCGTGTTTCTGTTCACTTGTTATCAGGTTGTGGGGTGAGGGAGGGTAAGTGTGAAGAAAAGAATAGATAGTCAGACTTCCGACTCCAATAAAAAAAAAATCTCTCCTCAAATACGTTCCACACTTCAAAAAGGCAAACGGCACCATCATTTGGATTTTCCTGAATCCATGTACTTACTTTGCTCTTATCTGAAGTGAGATCAGCCCTAGTTTTAAAATGCAAGTTGTGTTTGGAGAGGAAGGAGAGGCGATCCAGTATCTGAGCCAGCCTGGGTGGGGGATCAGGGTTTAGGTATCTCTAGGAATCCTTTACAACCAGAGGCCAGGGTTCCAGAGTGTGAAGGGATAGAAGTTAGGATGGTTTAAAAAAAAAATTATGATCTTGCCTAGAGTCCTCAGATCATATGGTTTATAAAGCTCAATAACCATTTTACCACAACTTAGAATACAGCATTCTTGAATGCACTGGGCAAGGCTGATGCATCAGGATTTCCCTTACAATACACTTTATAACAATAACAAGTGGGAAGAAACCCCAATGTGGATAGTAGGGATCGGTTAGATAAACTTCCTTCACCCCTAAGTGGAAAACATATGCCATCACCAGAACCTGAGACGTGAAGTCTATGTTGACAGGGGAGGGATCAGAGAAGAACTTCCCACTTTCCCTTCCCTTGTCAGCACACACTCCACATTTCTTCAGGGAATCAGCCCTCTCCCTCTCAGTCCCCAGGGTTGATGTCTACAGACAGTGGCAGGTAAGCCTGCTGAGGACAGCAGGCACCTTCCCCAACCAGAGGGGTGGAGCCCCAAAGGGCCACCAAGAGCCAAGGGGACTCTGTTCTTGTTGGAACTGGTGGGAAAGAGAGAGCTTCTCCCCCCACCCCCAGGTGGTCAGGTTCTGTGGATGCAGGCACCAGGGACCACCCAGGAAGAACCTGCAAGAGAATGATCAGCCTCCAGAAAGGATTCCTGAGGACTTGATTTGAGCACCTGACTTTTCAGTTGCCCCTTTGTGGCTTAGCAAGCATGCGCTGGCTTTCTGTCATTTATGATGGAAAGAGTCTTGACCCGTACAGACGCTTATAAGATGTCACTGAATGAAGAAGCAGGTTTAAAAACATTATGTCCCATCTGGGGCACCTTTTAAAAATCCAAACCATATATTTTTGCATGTACACAAAAACTGATGGAAAGAGACACCAAACTGTTTACAGTATTATATCCAGATGGAGGAAGGACAGGTGCTTTTATTTTTTTATGTCAAATTCCTAATTTGATTTAAGACAACCGCCCATTACAAAGAGAGATAGTAAAAAAAAAAAAAGGCATTGTTATTTAAGATGAATCACTGCAAGAGAAGCCAATCTCAGAATTCTGGTATCCGAAGCTTCTGGTCTCATCAGCTGCTGTGATGCTAGACATCCGAGAACTACAGACCTGGGCTACCCTGAACCACTTTAGAAGTACAAGTTCTTCATCTTCTGTGATCTCACAGTCTTGCTCATTGTTCTGTAATAATGCTTAACATGGTAGGAGTTCATGCATTCATTTATTCACTCATTCATTCATTCTATAAGTGCCACTACTTTGGTGTCAAAGATGTAGAGGTGAAAGAACAGGGTCTCAGCCCTCCTTTGGTGAAAACAGTTACTCCCAGAGACGTGGGATTCTCTGCAGGAGGATATGCTGCTTCTCTGCCCTTCCCCATGCCTGCTGGCCACCCAGGACCCCCAAGGGTCCCTGCCAAAAGATGGTCTGCAGCTGTTGTTACCAAACCCCTGCTGATCCCAGGACTACCTGCTAGGTGTTGCACTACAAGCATGCACAGTGACCCTGAAAAGGATGGGCTGTGAGCCATGGTGATGGAGGGGTTGCGGGCCAAGCCACAGAATTATATCGTTTTTTTCTGTTTCATGTTTGTCATCTTCCAGGGGCCAGAGGAAATCTCTTGTCATCCCCCCAGAAACTGGGGACAATGGCTCTTGCCCATATAAAGAGGGCAAACAGTTCCCTCTGTTCTAAGGGCAGGCAGCCTGCTAGACCAGACATCCTCCAGCCCATGTGGTCTCAGATTACTGGGTTCCAGTCAGCATCATTAGTCTTTAACAGATTTATTGAAGCATAATTTACATGCATAAACTCTCCTCAGTTTTAGGCATATAATTCAATGACTTCTGGTAAATTTACAATTGTGCAACCATCACCACATCCAGTTTGGAACATGTCTATCACCCCAGAAAGATCTCTCTTGCCTGTCTACCTTCACTGCCTGTTCCCAGCCCCAGCCCCAGGCGACCATGAGTCTGCTTCCACACATTTGTTTTTTCCTAAACATTTCATATAAATAGAATCGTTCAATAGGTGTCTTTCCCCCTAGTTCTTTGCACTTAATTCAGTTTTTCTGAGGTTCATCTATGTTATGAAGGTATCAGTACCTCATTCCTTTGTATTCATGGACAGTATTCCATTCCACAGAGATTCACCATTTGATGGACATCAGAGTTGTTTCCACTTTTTGGCTATTGTGAATAATGCTGTTTTGAACATGTATGTCTGTGTCCTCACATGGAACATATGTTTTCATTTTCCTTAAATGCCTAAGCATGGCATTCGTGGGTCTTATGGCAAATTTATGTGTAGCTTAAGAAACTGCCAAGCTGTTGTTTAAAGTGGTTGCATCACTTTACATTTCCATCAGCGATACACAAGGGTTCCAGTTTCTCCCCATCCTGGCCAACAGCCGTGACATTGGTTATGGCCATCGTAGTACATGTAAAGAGGGCTTTTCTTGTGATTTAAAAATGCTTTCCCCTAATCAAGACTCTTCATTTTTATTTTCAAGGACCAGAAGTGGCCTACGATGTATGCAATGGTGCCTTCATTGTCCTGCAAGTAGGTCCTGTGATAATAGAATCACATTCTGGAACCTGGAGTCCAGGTCCTCTCTACTTCACAGCACTGCCTGGTTTGAGGTGGTGGAAAGAGCCTGCATGAGAGGGAAACTATGGCTTGTCATGGATTTGTCAGTGGACCTAAAGCCCAAGAACATGGAGCACCGTGTCCTTTGTAGGTGCTGCAGAAATTCAGCTCTGGCGAACACACACGAGCTGTGTTGTTCTTTGGTCTTAGGACACCGGCGATATTGGTTAGTGAACTGAAAACGGACAGATGCTCAGCTTTATTTCATTATTTCCTATACTGTTTTTAACGTCATACATCCGGAACCACTTGCTGCAGTCTTTGTGGGGCTGTTTTGTTGAGGTCTTTGTTGTTCATTAAGGTTGGCCAGAAACCTTTGCACAAAATGAATCACGGTGTTCCTCACAGGGCTCACCTTGGTTTATAAGCCTCTGGGGTTCCCTAACCACCTACAGTTGCGCCACATTGTTTGGGACAAACTTTAGGAAATGTCTAACCTTTTTTGGCATCTCTTCTCATATTTTCATTTCAACTCAAGACACAGCTGCTTGGTGGGATTTCCCTCCAGTGCAAGAGGGACGGGAGTAACCGTGCAGATGCTGGTCCTTCTCCCTCCTGCCCCGCACCCTTTGTCCAGCTGGCACTTGACACACAGACTGTCTTCATGTGAGCACATGTGAAAGATCCCTATTGAGCCCATTCTATTCACATGGAAACACGTCGCAGAGAAAAAATGTATCATGCTACTTGGCAGTGAGACTCTCACACAGGGGTCCTTAGCAAAGGGGGACATTCCAGAATTTGTTATTTCCCTTTTGGCAAATGACATGCAACTCTTTGCAGAGAGCAGTGTGCTTCTGTAAAGCAAACCCGAAATAGTCTGCAGCTCTAACTGCTCACCTAATTAAGTAGGTCTTTTTCACTGCAGATGAAAGGAGAAGGCTCTCAGCTCCCTGATGAGTCTGAGTTGTTAAAATCAGAGAAGTCGAAATGTCTTGGCTGCGGCTGTTTTGCCAAATAACCATCCTGAAAATACTGGTCATCCTGGAATTAGATTTTATTACCAAGGGTCACTAAGTGTCAGCAGGGAGCAGCCCGGGTGTCAGATCACCCCAACTTCCCCTCACCCCCATTAGTCCCGGCTCTCCAAGTTCTGCTGAAAGATAGTAGTGGCTTTTGCACTATTACGTAGAAGAGGTTGTGCCCTCTGAGCCCCGCTCCCCAGAAAGCATCTCACGGCCTTTGATCGGCTCAGATAACTTCCACCTTCTCTGGTCAGGGCACTCCTCTGGGAGCTTAAATCCACCAATGATGTCACAGTCCACCCAGTTACCTCTTAGTCCAGAAACCCAGGGTGATCCTTGGTCCTACCCTTCTCTCACACCTAACACTGGATTTTTTTTTTTAACTAGACTATTTTTTAGAACAGATTTAGGTTCACAGAAAAAAATGACAGGTTTAGAGGTTTCTCTTGGATGCACAATCTCACACATTATCAAGAACCTGCCCTCACCCCAAGTGGTGGTACTTTTGTAACAATGGATGGACCTCCATGGACACATCAAAATCACCCACAAACCAGGGTTTACATTAGGGCTCACACTTTGTGTTGTACATTCTATGAGTTTGGACAAATGGACAAACAATGATCTGTATCTACAATTATGATACGGAACAGGGTATTTGCATTTGCATTTGCACTGCCCCAAAAATCCTCTGTGCTGCATCTATTCATCCCTCCCTCTCCCCAATTTCTGGCAGCCACTGATCTTTTTACTGTCCTCATTGTTTTGCTTTTTCCAGAATGCCCAAGTTGGAATCCTACTGTACATAGCCTTTTCTTATTGACTCCTTTCATGTACTGCTGTGGATTTAAAGTTCCATCATGTCTATTCATGGCGTGATAGCTCAGAGATTTTTTTTTTTAACGCTGATTACCCTTCCATTGTGTGGATGGACCACAGTTTATTTATCCATTCAACCTACTGATCCTCCTCTCCTGTCCACACCCTGCCACTGTCTAAACACCTTTCTGAGATACCTATCTGGTTGTGTGCCTATTCTACAAATCTGGTTCTTCCACTCCCCCAGGGACTTCTTGAGGGAAAAGCAGTGCTGTGTGTCTTGAATTCCTCAGCTTCCAGCCCATGGCTCTGAGCAGGTCCTCAGATGTCAGTGGGGAAAGGGTCCCACCAGCTCCTCTCCTTGACCCCATCTCGAGACTGGGAATCAGCAGAAGGTCCTTCGGAAGAATACTTTATAGACAGTGAACTTGTGGGAGACAGCACCCCAAAAGACGCTTAAGGGAAATGAAGCAGTTTCAGAAGTTGGGTAAAGAATTACAGCATTATTTCTGTACTGTCCCCGCAGATACATTTGCACAAACAAGACACAGAAACAAGAAACTTTCTCATTGTTTAAGGTTTCTTCTTCATATCCCACCACTAGCTACAATTTTTTTACAGAACTAAACAGAACCTTAAAAAAGGCAGAAAAGGGAGCCACGAGATGATTCGCTAAACAGCAGGCACCTTAATAAGTCTTTAAGCGAATTCTGGCACTGAATAAATAAGCAACAGAGAAAAATAGTTAAGGATAAACTATGAAAATGGTTCATAAATAGATTGATGGTATTATGTATTTTTCTTTGGTGATACTAATTTTTAACAATAAAACAAGTGCCTGAAAGATATTTGTTTTCCCATTAGAAAACATGATTTTTAAAAAAATTTATAACATAAATTTTATGTAAATATATAACATAAAATTTGTCATTTTAACCATTTTCAAGCATGCAGTTCAGCGGCATTAAGTGCATCCACACTGCTGTGTGGCCATCCCCACCATCCATCTCCAGAACTTTCTGTCTTCCCAAACTGAAACTGTGTCCCTGTTAAACACTAACTTTCCCCTCCCCCAGCCCCTGGCAATCTCTATCCGACATTCTGTCTCTAGAAGCTTGACTAATTGAGGTACCCCATAAATAGAATCATACAATTTTTGCCCTTTCGTGTCTGTCTTATTTCACTTACATCCTTAAGATTCATCCATCTTGTAGCAAATGTCAGAATTCCCTTCCTTGTTAAGGCTGAAGAACATTCTGTTGTATGGATAGACCACACTTTGCTTATCCATTCATCTATCGACACTCGGGTGGGATTTCATCTTTCGGTTCTTATGAATGATGCCGCTGTGAACGTGGGTGTACAGAGATCTGCTTGGGTCTCTGCTAGAACACAGGATTGTTTAGTAAAGAAAAATATAAGCAATAATGAAAGAGAGCCTTCTGGTAATGCCTGGTTGCCTCTGTGAAGTCAGAAAATGGACTCTCTAAAGCATAGGGTATGGCTGTTCTGATTGCTATTAACATAGACCAGTGGTGCTTTCTTAAAAAGCTATAAAAACTGTATTTTACACGCCTGCCAATGCACAGGATTACTCAGGATGAAAATCGCGTATGACAAATGCCAGTCAATGCAAGTAATCAAGTAATTCCAGCCAGAATAAAAGTTGCCTTTCATCCCTGCAGGCCAATTAGCTCAACACGGTCTTCACCCAACTCCCTGGCGGCCAGCCTTCCTCCCACGCTCCCCAGGCTCCCTTTCCAAGCTCCCTGCCAGGCTCTCCTCATTCCATCATCTAAGTTTTTCCCTTATTCACTCACTCCTCCTGCCAAATGCACTTAATCCTTCTTCCTTCGCAGACTGCAGTTGTAACGGGAAACGGTTGCGGAGTTGTCTATGCCCTTTCACAAATGCTGTGGTTGTGGATCGTAAATTCCGAGGGGGCAGGGAGGGCGCTGGTTTGATCTGCTCTGAGCTGGGGAGTTGCCCGTGGGTCCTGCTCCTCTACAAGCAGGGAATGGACAGGGACATCCCAGAGCAGGTCCCGGCCCCCCACCCTTTGCTGCACCTGTCCCATCAGAGGTCAGCATCTCATCAGCATAAAGAGCCCCAAAGGTCCTCTCACCAGGGGGTCACATCACAGATTTCCAGGTGTTGTCTTTTTGCTTTTTTCAGAGCAATACCCCTGGCTCCAGACATTCTTGGCTATTCTCACAGCTTCATCACTTTCAGTGCCAAACAATAGCCTCCTTTCTAGGTGGTCAAGAGTCCTGTTTAACATTAGAGCCCCAGAGTTCATTCACTAAGTCTCTCCTTTCCTGGCTCAGGGCGGCCTCAGGCCAGAACATCTGCACGGAGGAGGGGCCTGTGATCTCTCCTCTTCCTATTTCTTAGTCCCCCTCCTCCCCAACTTGCAAATCAGGGTGCTTTGGTTTCCTTGCAATCCTTATGCACCACCCCCCAAAACTCCTTTCAGGCTTTTCCAGAAGTGGTAGTAGTAGGCATCCATGTCTTGTTCCCATATTATTTTATTTCCTGTGACTTCGTCAAATGTTTTCTTTGTGTAACTGAAGAAATCGTACAAATGTTACTGGGAGCTGTAAGAAATTCTGCTCACATGAGGGACTTGCAGGGACTTAGGGTTTAAACAGCACAGGGAATGCAGTCAATAATATTGCAACAACTTCGGATGGTGACAGATGGTAACCAGACTTATTGCAGTGACCATTTTGCAATGTATATAAATACCAAGTCACTAGGTGACACACCTGAAGCTAATACTATATTTATGTCAATTATTCTTCAATTAAAAAAATAAATTAAGAAAGTGCATGATAAGAATCATCCATACACGTCCTAACTGATAATTAGCTTCTATTGTGTTATTTTTAAAGGAGCAGACAAGCCAGTAGAATCAACTCGTGTGAGTGTGTGTTCCATGCTATGAATTTAAGTACATGTATAGATTCACGCAGCCTTATGCACAGAATAATCCCATCATCCATGCCCCACCAACTGCCCTTCTACATTAGTCTCTACCTCCACCCCACCCCCTGGTAATCACAAAGTTTTGTCCTTTTGAGAATCACTGAATCTCACAATATAGATTCATCGTGAGAGATCGGACTTTTTGAGAAGGTTGTAGAAATGGAACCATATATTTTTGAAACTGGCCTCCTTCACTCCAACATAATGTTTTGAGATTCATGTAAGTCTTTGCATGTATTAATAATGTATTCCTTTTTATTATTATGGAGTTGTATTCCACTGTATAAACGTACCACTGTTTGTTGAAGAATGTGTTGTTTCCAGTTTGGGGTGATTACGAACTGAGCTGCTGTGAATATTCGTGTCCTGGTTTCTGTGTAAACACACATTTTTATTTCTTTAGGAATTTCATACCCAGCAATGGGATCACTTAACTATCTTAGAAGCTGCCAAAATGCCTACCAAAGTGGCTGTACCATTTTACAATCCGACAAGCAATGCTGAGAGTTCTAGTTGCTCCGTATCCTCACGAGGCATTGATGTTGTAAGTATTCTTTAATTCTAGCCATCCTGGCAGGTTAAATTCCCTGCCCTCTTGGAATTTGCTATCTAAGACAACACTGGTATGAAGGGGCACATGAGACTTATAGACAGCAACTGTGGTTTTAACTTGCATTTTCCTAATATCTAATGATATTGAACATCTTTTTATGTGCTTATTTGTCATCACATATTCTCTTTTGTAAAATGTTCAAGTCTTTGCCTGTGTTTTATTTGACTTTCTTACTGTTGAAGTGGAGAATTCTTTACAGATTCTGGATGAAAGTTCTTTACTGGAAATGTGGCATGTAAATATTATCTCTCAATAAAGAGCTTGTTTTTACCAGACAGCTGGTCTCACTTTTTAAGTTAATTTTTGAATAAAGCCTGAGGAGGAAGATCCCTTTGCTGCATATGGACATCCAATTGTTCTAATTCCATTTGTTGAAAAGGCTTCTTGATTTGAAATTTCCATTGAACTGCTTTTCTACCATTGTCAAAATTTTGCTTGGCCATATTTATGTGGATCCATTTCTAAACTCTATTCCCTTCCATTGATCTGTGCATTTATTCCTTTGCCAATATATATTGTCATGATTACTATTGTTCTACAATAAGTCATAAAATTTTAAATTTGTCTTCACTATTTTAATCCTTTTGTCTTTCCATATAAATTTTAAAATTAGATCGTCTATATCTGCAAAGTAATCCTGCTTGGATCTTATTTGGAATTGGATTAAATCTGGAAATCATTTTGGGAAGAATTAACATATTTACTATTTTGAATCTTCAAATGTTGTTTTTCACAGATATCATTTATCAAGTTAAGATGCTTTTTTAAAGTCATCAATGGGGATCCCTTGGTGGCGCAGCGGTTTGGTGCCTGCCTTTGGCCCAGGGCGCGATCCTGGAGACCCGGGATCGAATCCCACATTGGGCTCCCAGTGCATGGAGCCTGCTTCTCCCTCTGCCTGTGTCTCTGCCTCTCTCTCTCTCTCTCTCTCTCTCTCTCTGTGTGTGTGTGTGACTATCATAAATAAATAAATAAAAAATAAATAAATAAAATAAAATCATCAATGGATGCTGATTTTATCAAAGGCTTTTCTCTACATGTATTGATATGGTCATATGGTTTATCTCATTTGATCTCTTAATGCAGTAAATCAAAAGTATAAATATGCAAATATCAAAAAATCTTTGAATTCCTCTGAATCCAATTTGATCATAGCTTATTATCTTTTTTATGCACAGTCAAATTTAGTTTGTTAATATTTTATTAGAACTTTTCATCTGTAATCATGGGTAAAATAAGTCTCTCATTTTCCTTTAATAAACTGCTTTTTTTCTGGTGTGGGCATCAAAATTATAGTGGCCGCATAGAATGATTTGAAGAGCACTTCCTATGGAGGAGTTTGTATAGGATTGGAATGATCTGTTTCTTGAAAATTTAGAAGACTTGTGTAAAATCTTCTGGACCTGATGTTCTCTTGTGTGAAGATTTTTAATTATACCTAACTTTCTGTAGTAGTTACAGGACTGTTTGGGTTTTCTATTTCTTATAGACTTCTATTTCTTCTTGAGTCACATGTAGTAAGAGTTTCTAATAGCTCCTCTATCTACTTCATGTCCTCTTTTTCATTTGTAATATTATCTATTTTTAACTGCTCCTCTTTTCTTTAAGTAATATCCCAGAAGTTTAAAAGACCAACTTTTAGCTTGATCAGTCTTCTTATTGCTTTGTTTTCAATTTGGTAATAATAGTCTTTTTTTCATTATCTCCTTTTTTAGACTTTATGAAGCTCTTTTGTTCTTTTTCTAACTTCTTAAATTGGAACCTTAGTTCACTAATGTGATACTGATATGTCTTCTTTTTAAAAGATACAAGACTATTTAAGGCTATAAATATATAAATATTTATACAAATATATGATATAAATATAAAGTCTCTGAAAGGATCTTGTTCACACTACCTGCAACCTTACTGGGATAAATCCCACTCAGTTATGCTATATAATTGTTTTTATATATTGCTAGTTTCCACTGGCTGTTCTTTTGAGGATTTTTGTGTTAATATACTATCAGGCATATTGGTCTATACTTTTCTTGTGCTCCCTGTCTAGTTTTGGTATCAGAATAATACTGGTTTCATAGAATGATATTGGAAGTATCTCCTGCTCTTCTATTTTTTGGAAGAGCCATGAAGGATTGGTATTAACTCTTCTTTTAATGTACAGTTGAGTTCACCAGTCAAGGTAACTGAGCCTAGGCTTTTCTTTGTGGAAAGTTTTTAAATTACTAATTCAGGGAGGATCCCTGGGTGGCTGAGCAGTGTAGCACCTGCCTTTGGCCCAGGGCACGATCCTGGAGTCCCGGGATTGAGTCCCGCATCGGGCTCCCGGCATGGAGCCTGCGTCTCCCTCTGCCTGTGTCTCTGCCTCTCTCTGCTTTTCTGTCTATCATGACTAAATAAATAAAATCTTTAGAAAAAATAAATTACTAATTCAATCTCTCTTTACTTGTTATTGGTAGAGTCAGATCATTCTCACTGGTCTCTGTCTACCTAGGAATTTATCCATTCAATCCAGTTTATCTAATTTGTTGGCATACAATTATTTATAGGATTTCCTTATCATCATCATAAAAGAGTGGTGTCCCCTCTTTTATTCTTGATTTGAATAATTTTTATCATCTCTCTTTATATCTTGGTCAGTCCAGCCAAAGATTTATTTTACTGATCTTCCCACAGAAGCAGCTTCTGGCTTTGTTATTTTTCTCTATGGTTATTTAATTATTCTTTTTAATGTTTTACTCTCTATTATTTCCATTCTCCTGCTTGCTTCAGATTTTTCTTTTCTTTTTCTTATCTCTGAAGGTGGAAGATCAGGTTATGGATTGAGATCCTTCTTCCTTTTTAATATGGGCATTTATCACTATTAATTTCTCTCCAGTCACTACTTTAATTGCATCTCATAAATTTTGGCATATTGTGTTTTGTTTAATTCATCTCAATGTATTTTCTAACTTTGGCCAATTGGCCAATGTATTTCTTCTTTGGCCAATTGATTACTAAAGAGTTTGTTGATTTTATTTATTTTTTAAAAGATTTTATTTATTTATTTGACAGACAGAGAGAGAGCAAGAGAGCACAAGCAGGGGGAGTGGCAGAAGGAGAAGGAGAAGGAGATTCCCTGCTAGGCAGGGAGTCTGATGCAGGGCTCCATCACAGGACCCCAGGATCATGACCTGAGCCCAAGCCAGACCCTTAACGGAGTGAACCACCAAGTGCCCCTAAGGAGTTTGTTGTTTAATTTCCACATATTTGTGAGTTTCCCAAATTATTTTTACTTCTTGATTTTTTTACTTCATTCCACTATGATCAGATAACATACTTCATATGATTTCAGTCCTTTTAAATGTACTGTGGCTTGTTTTGTGTCTAAGATGTTATATCTTGGAGAGGGTTCCACATGTAATTGAGAAGAATATGTTTTCTTTGTTGTTAGAGACAGTGTTCTTCTACATGTCTGCTCAGTGTAGTTGGTTTTTGGTGATGTTCAAGTCTTTCTTTATTGATCATGTAGCTGTTCATCCATTATTGAAAGTGGAGGATATAAGTCTCCAGCTATTACTATTGAATTGTCTGTTTCTCCCTTCAATTTTGTCAGTTTTTACTTCATGTATTTTGGGGTTCAGTTGTTAGGTACACATGCATTTACAGTGGTAACATCTTCATGATCATTTACCTTCTTATCACAGCCCTGGCCTGTGACATGAACTCCTGACCTATTTATCTGTGTCCAGAAAGATAACTAATAGGCATCGCAAACCTAACCTGTCAAAAACTGAGCTCCTAATATTCCCTAACTATTCCTTCTGCACGCTTCTCAAGCTCAGTTAATAGCAACTTCATTCTTTGCATTGCTTAGGCTAAATTTCTTGGTGTCATCCTTGAATTATGTCTCTTACCCCCAAATTTAATCCATCATCAAATCCTGTTGGCTGTACCTCCACATATATCCAAGATTCAGTTGCTTACCATTGCCCTACTGTCACCCCAAGCTCCATCCATACCTCTACCTGTAGCAACCTAACTCTTCACCCAGCCTCCATCTTGCCAGTTCATTCTCAAGAACAGATAAATATTTCTCTGCTCAAGACCTCAATGGATTTCCATCTTGCTTACATTAAAAACTAAAGCCTTACCTTATTCTACATGATGTGCTCTTAATCACTTCTCGATCCCATTTCTTAATTCTCCTTCCCTTATTCTCTTTATGGTGGCTCCTCTGGCCTCTTGCTGTTCTTTGGATATACCAGACACATCTCCATCTAAGGATCTTTGCACTTGCTGCTCCCACTCACGAGTACATGGTTTGTTTGTTTTTTTTTTTCCATTTTGTCATTGCCATATCCAGTGTCTAGATTGGTGCTTAGAACATGGAAGACACCTGATAAATATTTGTGGAGTAAATGAGTAGATGCATGGACTCCTCACTCAGCCTGGATTTGGTCCTGCCCTGATTTTACTCCTATGGACATCTAGATCATCAGTCTTAGACAATGATGATCCAAAGGCAATGACTGGGGCAAGAGCAGGGAGCTTACATGGGTTTTCCTTTCACCTATTCTCCCCTGGCCAACACCAGCCACCCTCTGTGCTATAACCACACTCAACCTATTCCACTCCCACACCAGCCATGGGTCTCCCAGGGAATTTGCATTTGCTTATTTGTTGTTGTTTTGATTCCATGTTTCTATCTATAATCCAAGGTTCATTAAAGGAAAGAGTACCCAAAGTCCATGCTCAGCCTCCACATTAGCAGGAACTGGAAACTCCTCCTCCACTTGTTAGCTGGTGTTTCAGGACCTTACAGTTGTGGAACAGGAGATGGAAAAGAAGTGAGAAACAGTGCTACAGACTGTGCATTGCAAAACTCCGTAGGGTGACTTTCACATGCATATGGCAGCCTCTTGAGGATGCTTATGATTTGACACTGAAGTTCTCTATGTATGGCATATTTCAAATGCTGATTTTGTTTATTAAGAGAAGCGTTTATGAGCTCTTCAGAGATAACGTTCCCAGGGCTCTTACCTACAACTTACTTGATTATCTGATGCTTCCTCTGACTGTCTGCACTTTGTGCTCTGCCCTTGCTCTGGGATCCCCTTCCCCAGATGCTTCTCTTGGGTAGATTCTGACTCAAGATGATCCAGTCTGGTTCCCTCCTGCAGGATCCACATCTGGCCCACAGGAAACTCTGGAAGCAGATCATTTCCATTCCAGCCACTTCCTCTAGTCTGCTTAGGGCAGCCAGTGCTGTAGGAATTGAGCCATAAGCTTTTCCAGCATGAATCAGACACTTACATCAGTAGACTCATGACAAGCTTTCCAAGTGGCTCCAGGTCTGTCAGGCACCACCTCTTCTCCTCAGTGGGGAAGGGAGAACAGATATGCAGCACTCAAACAACTTACTCTAAAGAACTTCTCATCAACTCTCTCTTCAATCTCTCTGAACATCTTTGGCTTTGCCTGTGGAGGTGAGAAAGGAGGAGGTTAATCTCGGTAGGAACTACTTTGGACACCTCCTGTGCAAGTCCTTGGCTGCAGTGGCCCCCACACCAGGGTGTTAGAATATCTGGACCTATTGCATTGTTCTCATCTTACAGGTTTACATCACAACTGCAAAGACTATAGAAGAGTCACATTTGACATCTGATTACACACATAAAATAAGATGGTTATCAACAAAAGGAAGGTGGGAAAGAAAGGCTGAGCATTTCTACTGATGTAAGCAACCTGAAAAGGAAGCCTGTGACTAAGTCAAAACTCACCATGCAGAAACACAGACCCCAAAGTGTTCATCTGGGGCACTGCAGAGTTGGACTTTCCAGACGGGTGTTTGATTGGGGTTCGTTCATTTCCCAAGAGACTCCTCCACTAGTAGTACCTGACACGTGGGGGAAGCTGAATAATGACAGCCCCCAACAAAAAAGGCATCAACATCCTAATCTCTGAAACCTATGATATGTCGCCTTATATAGTAAAAGAGACTTTGCAGGTGTGATTAAGGGAAGAAACTTGGAGAAGGGAGAAGGGACTATGAGCCAAGAGAGCACAAGGTGCCTCCAAAAGCTGGAAAAGGCAAAGATGTGGATTCTCCCCAGAAGCTCTCAGAAGAAACCATCCTGCTGACACCTTCATTGTAGACTTCTGACCTGAAACCTGTAGGAGAATGAATTGCTCCTGTTTTAAGTCACTAAGTTTTTGTTAGCTAGTTACAGTAGCCACAGGAAGCTAATACACACGATTTTTACTGACCTGAAGGTAGGAATATTCTCAAGGCATCCCAGGCAGTTAGAGAATGGGCCATACCGATAAGACACCCCTTGCATGTGGATGCAAGTGGGTGTTCAGCTGTGTCCTACAGATTTCCAGCATACTCAGAAACCTGAGCATTGAGCCCTGAGCACAGCAGGCTCACTTAAGGATGAGTTCCTCATGTTCATAAAACCAGGCTCCAATTCCTTTTGTTTCTTTTTAGAACACAATGAAAAATGACACTTGAATTGTGAGCGACAACAACTGTTTACAGTTTGAAAACCTGCAAAATAACCCATGAACAGATTGTGTCTCTGAACTCAATGCTTCATTTATCTTGCCTGCATTCACCCAACGGGAAACAAATGTTTTAAAGCGGAATAAAACTTTGTTCAGTGTTCCTGGTAGCATGTAACAACTGAACCCCATCTGTTCAATAAAAGCTTTAATTGGAAACTCGTTGTCTTTACTTGTATTGAGGGAGTTCTTGAATCCACCAGATGGAAATGTCGCCCTATGCCTTGGGTCTTAGCACACTAGGATTACAAAACACGGACACAGCTCCTCTTTGTATTTAGTATTGTGGCACAATCCCCCACTCTGCTCAGTGCTATAAATCTCCCTACCCTATGGTGCCCCCAGTTGCTTTTCAGCATCTCTGATGGAGTGACCTAGGGCCCCCACTGCCCACTGGCTGCAGGCAGCACCCCAGACCCCTCAGCTCCAGCACCTGTTGCCCATAGAATCCCTCAGCAAACCCTTGCCCATCACGAAGACACCGAGGTCTCCTCCAGGAGCTGACGTTGGGGGCTCAGGTGCTGGGGTGCCACTGGCCTTGGGGAGCAGGCAAGAGAGAGGCTTCCACCCTGATCTGCAGCAGCATCTACAGAAAAGCAGTCCCCCCCAGTCTAGCCCTTGTTCCACTCCACACAGGCGCTCACACCCCATCTCACTGCATCCCTCTACAGACATCTCATGCTCAGGGTCCGAAGGAAGTGCAGCAGGGATGAGATCCTCCTGCTGCCCATCTTCCCAGAGGTGCCCCTGGCTCCTTCACAGCCCATTACCCTCTGGAAAGTGCACAGAAGTCCCCTCACATCTTCCCTGGACAGCCCCTCCCAAGCACATAAGCACACTGGGTAGGCAAACTTGGATCACATCAGTGGCCCTTGACCCAGGAGCCTTGGGAGGTTCAGGAATCTTGACGCTCAGGCTGCATCCCAGACCTGTCACACCAGAACCACTAGAAACCCTCAGGGACATGATCTGGTTTTTAAAGCTGCCCAGGGCCCAGGGGATTCTTCCAAGAGGGGAGGTAGTTCTCGAAGATAACCAAGAGTCCGAGCTACAAGTAATCCTGCGATAGCGGATACCGATGGTTTCTCCAATTTTATTTTCTGTAAAATTAAGTACAGTGAAAAGCTAAGTGGGCTTTCAAAATGAGGCAGCACACTACACATCACAAGGAGACAGCAGACGCCCCTGAAATGAAGCCCACATGTCTTCTGGAATGACCTGAGGCAGCAGCTGGGACGCAGAGCTGGATGGGCCTTGGACGTTTTGCCTGGTGGTTCTGGGCAGCTCTACCATCCGTCATGAGCCCAGGCTAGACCCCAGTTTAGGGGGCCTGAAGTATTTGGAATTTACAAGTTCCCTGTAAGAAGACAGATACAAAATCAAGAATAAAAACTCCCTGGGTTCTAGGAAGCTTCCCCTGCACTCACAGCTCTTCCCAGGAGTGCCTGGCCTGCTGCCCGCACAGTAGGGGATGGGAACCGTGGGCTATGTGCCCCACTGCACAAGCCCCACATGATTCCACCCGAGTGAGGTCCCTGGAAAGCCCCATCCTGGCACTATTCCACCTATACTTTTGTGCCTCAGAGATCACCCCAGAGACAGCCTGTGGGCTGGCAAGTTGTGCCATTTCTCACTCTCGGGCCAGCAGCTGCTTTGGCGCCATGAGGCAGCCTGACAGCCAGGGGTTTGCTTTGTCCTCTCCCTCCTCAGTGTCTCGTCTCCGTTAGTATTCCTCTCCCACCACTTTTTCCTTCTATCTGTCCTCCTATTTCCTCTTTCTCTTTCTCTTCTTCCTTCTGGAAGCACTAGTAGATGCCAGGAACTGCTCTGGACGCTGATCATCGGGGAGTCTGTTTGGCTGACTCTGTGGATTGACCTGCCAGAGGGATGGGAGCCATCGGGCACAGGGGGAGACCTGGGGAATGGTCTGTACTGTGCACACGAAGGTGACTGCGAGGGGCACCCGGGTGGCTCAGCGGTTGAGCCTCTGCCTTCAGCTTGGCGTGATCCCGGGGTCCTGGGATCCCACGGGGAGCCTGTGTCTCCGTCTGCCTATGTCTCTGCCTCTCTCTCTGTCTCTCATGAATAAATGAAATCTTTTTAAAAAACAAAGAAAAAAAAGAATAAGAAAAAAATAAAAACAAAGAAGAAGAAGAAGAAGAAAATGACTGCAAAACGCACATTCACCAGGTTGCGTTAGTGTCCCCCAAATTCATGTCCACTTGGAATCGCAGGGTGTGGACTTCATTGGAAACAGGATCTTTGCAGACTGGGAGGAGTTCTGACTGAAGGGGTGGGGGCGTCCTTACGAGAGAGGAGAGGACACACAGGTGGACACGGAGACAGAGGCACCCGTCGCAGTGGTGCCACGGCTACAGCCAGGGAAGGCCAGGAACACGCAGAGCCAGCAGATGCTGCAGGAGGCAGGGAGCCTCCTGCCCTGGAGCCTTCAGAGGGCTCACATCCCTGCCAAGGCCTGCACCTCAGACGTTTAGGCTCCAGACCCATCAGGAGGTGGTTCACTCCTGCTACGCGGTGTTCAGCAGCCCCAGGAAACTCACGAGCAGGTAATTAAATGATTTGAAAACAACAGTCCCAAGATAAGACCCAAAGGCAAAGGGCAAGGGAGCAGTAATGCGGTAACACACTGCTTTACCCTAGACCGGCTCAAAAGGATACTCCGAGCCCCGCGTGGAAACCTCACCTGGCCCCAGAGGTGACAGATATCTGACAGCAAACAGCAAATGCCATTCTCTGGGGTTTGGATATTTTCCTACATCCAAAGAAAAGACAGGTTCGCCAGCGCCTTTGCAACTTTTGTGCGGTAAATACACAACGCACAGGATTGTGCATTTTCCTCCCTCCCAGCTCTTCGCCTCCAGCCCGTGGACAGATTGCTATCACCTAAAACACACAGAACTCTTGATATGTGCTGGAATGTTCAGCAGTTTCAACTTTCTTTTGCTTCGCCAAGGGTTTTAATGCTGTTTATATTCCGAAACAGGATAGGGTTTTTTTTTTTTTTTCCTCTCCCCCTCCCTCTTACATAAAAAACAGGCCGGGAAAATAGCTTCAAACTGCCAGTGAAATGCCAACAAATGATGAATTTTTAAAGTCTCCCCAATACTTACTTCCTTCTCAAGTAAGACAAGGAAAGGTAACAGACGAGTCAGTTGATCACAAAATGGAAAACTGAACTCTTTATCTCCTCACCGTCTTTACATCATAAGAATAAACTGTACTGGCTTAAAAACAGGCAGAAATTTAAAGATCACAGACCACTAAATACAACTCGTGAGAGCTGTTTTGGCAGAAACGTACTGTGAGTTATCAGTAAGTGGGTAAAATTTTTGTTGAGCACACATGTTTCTGTTATGTTTTATACCCTTTATTTTAAATCTAAAGTCAGCTGCAGTAAGTGTTGCATGCTTTTAATTAAATTCAGCATTTGGATCCTTTCTAAATAATCAGTGCAAGATGAGGAGTCGGGGGACATGCTGAAACATTGAAAAGTTCTTTCTTGATTAATCAGTAAATATAATCCTTATATATTTGGGTATTCTTAAGTATCAATGAGAAGTAGATAGTGGTATTCTTGCAGCTGAGAGAGGATTATAAACCCAGGAGGCTCATCACCAGCTCAGAGGTGAGTCCAGACAATGGGCCACCTTACAAAGGATGAGAAATCCCAATTAGCATTATTAGTTGCAAAGCTCCAAAATCAGTTTGAAATTCTTACAGCATTTAGAGATTCATACAGGTGAGTAGAGTGGAATCAATGCAAAAGACTAAAATGAAAAATAGTTTTTATCCACATCAGTGTCATAATAAAGGTATACGTGTAAGCAGAATCCCGGCAAGTGAGCTTGATCACCTGTCTTCCTCATCCCTTATTCCAGACCTCTCAACTGTGGCAAAATGTGACAGAGCCACATGTTCTACCTCACCCCTGTGCCTGCGTGGGGGGTGAGTCTTGCAGGTCTCCAAACACTCTTCAGTTTTCCCTTCATCTGATGGGTCATCGTGTAACCTCGACTCTCTCTCTACTTTTTCAGGCACACTCACAAATGCAATGCCACAGTTTTCGTTTCTCGGACAAGGTAACACTTTTCTCCCAAGTACAGAGAGAGAAGGACTTTGTGAAGTCTGCAGTTAAAAATGCCTGAGGTAATTAAAATACATTTTGGACTGTTTCCACATCTCTGCTGTTGTAAAGAATGCTCCATTGAACAGGGGAGCACAGATTTCTTTTCAAGATCCTGATTTCAATTCTTTTGGGTAAATACCCAGAACTGGGATGACTGGATCCTATGGTAGCTCTAGTTTCAGTTTTTTGAAACAACCTAAATATCCACTGATGGATGAATAAATAAAGGAATGTGATACATACGTGCAGTGAGATATTACTCAGCATTAAAAAAGGGGGAATCTGGGGGCACCTGGGTGGCTCAGTGGGTTAAGTCTCCAACTTGATTTTGGCTCAGGTCATGATCTTGGGGTTGTGAGATCGAGTCCCACATCAGGCTCCAGGCTCAGCATGGAGTCTGCTGGGGATTCTCTCCCTCCTCCTTTGCTCCTCCTGCTCATGCGCTCACTAGCTCTCCCTCTCTCTCTCAAATAAATAAATAAATAAATAAATAAATAAATAAATAAATCTTAAAAAAAAAAGAGAGAAAGAAATCCTGCTGTTCGTGGCAACATGGATGAACCAGGAGGACATTGTACTGAGGGAAATAAGCCAGACACAGAAGCACAAGTACAGCCCAGTCCCTCTTACGTGAGGGACTGAGAGTAGTCAGACTCACCGAAATAGGAAGGTAGGTTGGCAGATACCAGGGCCTGCGGGAAGGGACTGGAAATCACTGCCCAGCAGTTAAAAGTGCCAGTGATGCCAGGTGAATAAGCCTTAGAGCTCCGTGGCCCATAGTTAGCTAAGTTGTAGAGCACACTTAAGAACTGGTTCAGAGAGTAAATCTTCTCTTAAGTGTTCTTACCACAATAAAAAAGAAACTGGGAATTCTGTCAAAGTGAACTTTTTTGTATAAGACGTAGCTGTTTTCTAAAGGCAAAAATTCATGGATTCCATTGTTTTTTAGAGTTTTTTGCTAAGAAACAGGGTGATGCCATCACAACTGCAGACGGAAGGCATTGGCCTTCTTTGCCACCCCCACTCCACCCTCATCGCATATGATACATCACATTGAGAAAAAGGAATAGAAGGGTGGCGGGACACACAGGGAGAAAATACTGTCTCACGGTGTGCTCTGAGGATCAGATGACCTAAGGAATGGAAATGTGCTCTGTGAACTATTAAATATGGCAAGTTTTGAAACAGTGCTTTCTAGTAGGGTTTCTGCATTTTCCCTATATTCAATTAATGCAAGAAACCCAAAGGGAAGTTACGACAATTTAGTTTCAGACTAAGTCTAAAGATCTAATTCAGCGATACCTGGAAACAGAAAACCATTTGGAAGCTATGTAAATACTGTCACACACCCAGCTGATAACTGCATCTCAAAACCTGTTAAGGAGAGGACTCCTGGGTGGCTCAGTGGTTGAGCATCTGCCTTTGGCTCAGGGTGTGATCCTGGGGTCCTGGGATTGAGTCCCACATAGGGCTCCCTGCATGGAGCCTGCTTCTCCCTCTGCCTGTGTCTCTGCCTCTCTCTCTCTCTCATGAATAAATAAATGAAATCCTAAAAAAAAAAAAAAAAAAAAAAAAAAAACACCTCAACTCAACCTTGTTAAGGAATTGAGAAGGGGCCTTTTCCTCCTTCTGTCCAAGGACCATGTATATGCCAAAATTTTGGTTAGCGTTGAAATCTTGAGGGGGGTGGAGGTTGGGAGGACCTTGGACTTCCTTTTTGCCTTGTCTGGAATTGCCATAGCGTTAGATTGCCTACAGATATTTAAAACTTGCAAACGTAGGATTTTATGCATTTATTCCTAGGTCCAGCCTCCGATGATGAGTAAGCAACTGTGAGCTTGCGTCTCAAGCCTTTCCAGTAAACATATAATTTTGCTTAACAATGCAGGACAGCGAGGGGCAAGGGGGAGCATTCTAACTTTTCTTCCAAATCAGTGCAGCTATAAAGTACAACTGTTGGAGAGCAATCCAAGGCAGGCGCGAGGAAAGAATAGTTTTATCCCTCCATTTGTCCAATCACTCTTCAAGTCCCTAATAAGCACCTACTGTGTGCCAGGTACTGGACTTGTCAGTACTTGAGACTGAAGTGCAATGTGTTTAGTTACAGCTTCCTGTTGGCATGCCACGACCGTGGCTTCCAGAACATTCTTTCT